TAGCAAGCCTGCTTTATAACAGGAGAGAGAGAGACCGTAAGTGGTGAATTGCTCTCTAGGCTGAATATCTACTTACAATTTAAATTTGATGTGAGGAATCGTTGGCAACAAGGACTTGGAACAAATGAATAAAAACCAGAGTCTTTTTCTTTCCTATTTTATTCTCCAATCATGTTAATACTTGAGCAAAGCATCGAGGGCTGAAATGAAGGATGGACTTTAGAAAAAAAGAAGCTGAGGGTCTGGCTGCAGCTGCTCAAAGAAAAGGTCATTTCCTTTCACGTCTACCTGGCCTCATCCATTGAAAGGTGCACCTCGCCTCGCTCTGGGCTGCCAGCAGCTGAATATCACAGCTAGCCCCTCGTCTGTTACTTTCCTAGATAGGACCTGGTGTTTGGCTGGGGCGCCAGGACTCCTGGCCACAGTATATTGGATGGCACTGGTTCTGACCAGTTGATGTCCATTTTAACAGGTCAGTCCACAAGAGGGGCCAGTTGTTAAGTATCTTTACTATCACCCTTGGTCCAGACCCCCAGGTGCCTTGTCAAATAGCATGTCGAAGTGGAAAAGGTGCCTCCAGTGACATGAGTCAGGTTTGCAATGCAAGGGGAATTTTCCCTCCCCACACAGCCCAAGGACACACCTGTGCATCTGAGATGCTCAGGCCCGCAGCAGGTGAGCTTGTCTGGAAAGGTACGGGATAGTGCCATTCTGTCCTGTAGCATCACACTGACCTTGACTGGACCAGAGGGACACTTCAGGGAGACGAGCCTGAGTCCTCCAGGCCTCTTCATTCACCTGGGCCTTTGGGAGAACCCTGGGGAATGAGTGAGGAAGGTTGGTTCTGAGACCTATTCTGTAGTAGATCTACAGGGGAAAAGAATTCAGGGTCAGGGCAGTCTAGCATGGTGGTCAAGTGCACGGCTTTGATTTCTTGTAGAACTAAGGTCACTTGCTTTATCACTCGCAATTTATACAACCTCTCCGAGTCTCAGTTTCCTCACGGATAAACCTAACATAGCTACAGTACCTCACTGAGAGAGGTTGGTGGGGACTGAGTGAACTAGTACTTTAAAGCAGGTAGCACAGTGCCTGGCATACAGAGCTCAGAAAAGAGTAAATCTCAGCGCCACTGGTAGGTGACCATTCAGTGGCCAGAAGGATGACATGTGCTGATGTCTACAAGGCAGTTGGAATAGCTCTTGGCCCATAGCAAGCACTCAATAAATCAATAAATGATGATAACCATCATCATCTTCATCTTCATCATTATCTTAATCACTTTATTATTACTAGTTACCTCCTCTTTAACCAGAGTTCTGTCCCTCTTATGTGATTAGAGGAGCTCACCTGGGAGCTAGGGTTATACTGAGTTACAAAGGAGACCCATGCAGGCCGACCCTGTCCTTAACCCAGAGAGTGCTGCTTCTCAGGGTCAAATTTACCTAATTGTAAAAAGAGAGGTTTCTTAGAGGGAGCCCTACACTCCCTTCCCATCCTAAGGCTCTGAGTCTCAGCCTTGCCCAAGGATGGCGAGCACCCACCACTGGGCCAGACCTGGGAAGGATATTCACCCAACAGATGTTAATTGAGTGCCTTCTGAATGCCAGGTTCTGGGGACACCATGGTGGGCAAGCCAGTCATGCCCACACACCCCTCTTGGAGGTTACTCTCAAAACTGAAGCCCAAGGGACAATTAGAAAAAGATTTAGCTTATAACTTGATCCAGTTGACTCTAAAATTTAGGGTGCTGCATGTGTTAATCAGAGGCTTTTCCCCCCTAAAGCCCCACCCAACCCCGGATTTGTTTGGCGTTTGCAGAGAACTTATCTTTCTACATTTCCCCTTTTGCATTCAGCCTCAGGGAGGCACTTCCACGAGTGAGTTAGAAATGTAACTTTTTTCTTTTTCATTGAATTTATTGGGGTGGCGTTTGTTAATAAAATTATATAGGTTTCAGGGGAACAGTCTATAACACACCATCTGTATATTGTACTGTGTGCTCACCACCCCAAGTCAAGTCTCCTTCCATCACATTTCTCTCCTTTACCTTCACCTGCCTGCCGCACCCCCTTCCCCCTGGCAGTCACCGCGCTGTCGTCTGTGTGGAAATGTAACTTTGAAAATCATCACTTAGGAAAAGAGATGTTTCTCCCAGAAAAGTCCCTGGGAAGAAAGGCCTCACCCTCGTAATACCTTACGCGCTTCCTAGGGCAGCCACAGGGCCTCTGAGGCTACCACCTCAAACCCTCGTTTTCTAAGGAAGGGAATCAGGAGCTTAAGGAAAATGTGTCTCAGTTTTGTCCCTCCAGACAATACAGGCGTAATAATTCTTGTTCTTTCGCTTCTCATGCCTTAATCCTTGAAAAATTTACTCTGAAAAGAGGTTCCTTCCTTCTTTTCTAGCAAATCACAGGGCCCCACTGTTCATTGTTTTCCAGAAACAGCCATCCTTTTAGCCGTCTCCCAGGGCTGACGCGGGCAGAGCATTTGTAACCCTCCACAGCACAGGTGGAGATCAGGTTGGGGGNCGGTCACTGCCGTCTCCCAGGGCTGACGCGGGCAGAGCATTTGTAACCCTCCACAGCACAGGTGGAGATCAGGTTGGGGGAGGCAGGCAGGGCTGGTACAGTGACACCACGGTCTTCAGAATGGTTCGAGGTCTCCTGGAAAGGTGTACAGTGAGGAAGACAGTGCTGTCACTGGGCCGGGACACGTACTGCATGGAGCCCCCTCTGGCTGCTCAAAGTTGGAGTGGTTACAAGGATTAAATAAGTCACTGAGCTTGAAGCCTGGCGTATAAGTAGATATGAGGGGCTGCTGGGGTTCCCGTCCTCTGCTCCATAGCCTTCTTTCCCCAGCCATGGCATCTCCCCGATATGTCTCCACTCCTCTGGGCTCAACACGTGTGGGGCAGGCTTGCTGTTACTGGGGAAGGTGGGCGTCTCAGGTCGGGAGTGGCCAAGCCAGGGGTCAGCCTCAGAACAGGGGCCCCAGGGCGAAGGACAGTGCCATGGAACATAACACATTTGACTTGTCTGACAGCTTTTCCCAGGCAGGGACCTCCCCCCCACGCCTCCAATGAAACAGTGCCAGGGGGCCCTCATGGCACAGGAGCGCTGGGTTTTAAATACGTATGTGAGTGCCCTTCTTGGCTCAGGCCTTGGAGCTTATGCCTGGGTGCCCTGTTGGAGCCACCTGAGTGGAGAGCGGGGCTTTACAGTGCACCTGGCAGACAGTACAGCATTATGTGCAAAGTGATGCTCCGATTGCATTTTGAAAATTAGAAGTCCCTGGCACGTGGAAGGGATTCGGTGAAAGTTCAGTGGGTGGAGGGCACGGGATGAGTGAGCCAGCGCAGCACCTCTTAGGGTTTTACAGCAGAACAGGGGGGCCGCTGGGCCGCCCTCTCGCCCTCAAGGTCAGTGAGTGGCCTGGGCAGGCAGAGCCCATGTCTGGGGGGGGCGGGGGCTGGAGGAAGGCCCCCGACTGGGACTTCCATCACCCGAAAGCTGGCTAGCCCGTTTCCTTTCCTGCCCACGGTTTTGAGTTAAACAGCTACGGAAAGCTGTTCCCTGTCTCCGCGTGGGAGCTGGTGGCACGCGGCCGTGTATTATTAACTCGTATTTGTGAAAGTTTTCGGAGCTCTTGGTGGAAACCGAGGGTGATGCAGAGACAGAGGCAGAGGACAGGGTTCTTGGAGTGCGGTGGGGTTCACAGGAGGAATTCCGGGGTTGCAGTGACGACCAGGGGGAAAGGAGAGAACAGGAAGTGGCACCTGCCCCAGGTTGGGGTGCTCAGGGCCTGCGCATCCTGGGCCTAGGGCTGTCATTTCCTTTTCGAGGGAGCTGTCAACGTAGGGGCCAGCTCGTGCCCATAGAATGAAATGACAAATGGGACAAAGGAGGGGCGCACGCAGCACCACGCTCGAGTAGGGCGCCTGGCTTGGCACTAGCCCCGTGGAGGAAGGGACCTGGTGCCCACTCCGAGACCTCCCCTCCTCCGGCCCCTCGGAACCCTCGCTGCCCCCTGCGGGTCGGGGGCTTTTCATGGTGCGGGAGCGGAGGGGGCCGGCCCCGCGTGCACACAAGAGGCTGCCAGGCGGGCTGCTAGCCTCAGCCTCCAGGACCCACGGCGGGTGCGTCCTGCGCGGCAAGTGCGCGCTCCTGCGAGTCCCGCGCTAGGACAGGGGCTCGCGGCCCCGCCCCACCTCTGGAGGGATCCAGAGAAAAGCTAGGGCGAGACGGCGCGCCAGGGGGCCCCGAAGACCACCGGGCGGCGGTATAGACTTTCCAGAAAGGTCTCAGTCTCCGCTGCGAGCGCACGGGAGCTCGGGGGTGCAGGGGGCGCCGTGGGTTAGCCCGTGAGGGCGGAGGTGTCAGCCCAGCCCCGCGCGCTCCACCTCTAGCGGTTCCAGCGCGCCCCCAAAGCCCGGCTCCCGGGTCGGCGGGAGGCGCGTGTGTGTGTCTGTGTGTACTGGGGACACTCCCCTTCCCGGGAGCCCATACAGAGCCCCCGCCCTCCGTTCGGGCCGGGGATCCCCTCCCCCAGCGCAGAGATCCCCGCGCGTCCCCTGCCCACTTTGCCAAGGCGAGAAAGCGGCGGAGCGGGAGACAAAGAAACTCCTGCCTCCGCCACTCTGGGCCCCTCTACCGGCCCTAGACACTCCCCGGCGCCCTCCCTCGACCCAGGCGATGTCGCGTGTGGACACTCTGGAGAAGGGGGAGGGGGCGAGACTGCTCCCTGATGCTGGCCAGCCGGAGACTGCCCGTGCTCCCCGCCCGGGGACACCCCATGGCAGCCGCGCCCCCACCCGTCGCTCATCAAACCGTCCCGGGCCCCAGGTACCGCCACCGCGACCCAAACCGTCCCCCACCTTTCCAACGCAGCGATAGGGGGGCGCGGCGCACACAAAGCGCGTCGGGGGGGTGGTGCCCGAGAGTACCGGGGAGGGAGAGATCCCGCCAAGGCTGGGCGCGGGCCCAGACGCAGCTATTTACCCGATTTCTTCTTCGATCTCTGAGATGTCTGCGAAGATGAGGAAGACCACGAGCAGCGTGAGCGCAGCCAGCATCCAGCTCCGGAACTGCAGCTGCATGGTGGCTTCGCGCCC